AATTTCTGTCTCTGAGTCTTCATGATGCCGCAGCGTTCTCATTCTGAAGGTGATTGGACAGAAGACCTGTATCGAGAGTCAATGGTAAATCTGATTGGTGTTAACAGATGAAACAGTTTCTGTGGATTTTGATTTGTTTAACTTTGGTTTCACGTTGCAGATGGATCCATTAGTTCCTTTATAAACTGAACTCAGATGTACTGTAAAGACATTTTCTTTTAGGGATTGACAGATATGTTTTTTACTAGGGCTGCTAACGATGTCGATTATTGGTAATCAAGAAACTCCAATAACTGACAATAGGAACTAATATACATTGCATGTAATGTTTTAACAGCATGTCGTAGAAGGGAACCTGTCATTTATAACTAGGCTTCTTCATCAATGAGGGTGACTATAACTGAATATGTAAAACAAAAATAGGAGTGATTAAAGTAGGAGGCTCTCCTCTGAGACGTTTCACCTCTCATCCAAGAGGCTTCACCAGAACTGATGAAACGTCTTCAAGAAACTCAAGCAAGTCCAGTTGCTATGATTAAACTATGAGAATCACCGTGACCTGGATGACTGAGAATCTTCACAGACACAACGCCCTCCTCTGTTAATGTGGGATCAACTGAGATCGATCAGCTTGTCCCCTGCAGTTACGTCTGCTGATCTTCTCTGTTTTCTTAACCTTTTACTGTTCTATCACTTTTATTGTCAACAAAAGTCCATATCTTAAAGCATTATTGTTTTCCAGACACTGTTTCAGGATAATTTGTTGCTACCCTAGAACTTAGCCGCTAGCCGTTAGCGTAGCCTTAGCCACTGTGAGAGTAGCTAGTTTTCTGGTTTGTTTTTCCTGTTCAGTTTTTGCAGTTTCCGCTTGAGAGACCTTTCAAAGACCACAGAGTGAGACTCGAAGTAGCACATTCCATCTATCAATAATCGGTTGATAAAAATACCAATACGATAAATGGAGAAATGCTCAGTCAGCCACAATAATCAGCCAGGCCACTAATCAGCCTGTCCCTATTTCTCTTCTTTGCTCTAATTGGTTTATTTAAATTGGACGTTTGATTTCACTGCTTGCTGATTCCTGTGGTGCTGAAACAGAAACAGGCGTGGATGTTGAACGTATCTTCGTAGGTGACACTTATTCAGACATGTTCAGCTGCAACAGGTATCAGTCCTCAGGTAATCTGCAGGCTCCATTTATTCAGGCAGGTGAGTGACAAAGACTAATGAGCAAGAAAATAAACTTGTACCTAAATAGCTTTAAAGTAAAAAAAATACGTGAATCTACTGACTCGATGTTTCATCCATCACACATTCGTCCACAAAAACCAGCAGCTGCTACATTAACTAGTACCAACCAGTTCTGTGTGTGTTCTTACTTGCTGAGCTCGACGCAGCACTTGGCCAACAGGAATCGAACCTGTGGAGTGGAGCAGCTGTGGGCTTTCAGCAGCCGGTACGCTTTATACGGCTTTCCAGAGCGGTAGTAACAGGTAGCCAACAGGTAGAGCGCCTCCTCTGACCTCACTGACAGGGAGACAGGTGGAGAGAGAGAGGCAGGTGAAAAGAGATAGGTCACCAGGTAGTTAACAGGTAGACCACTTCCTCTGAACTCACTGACAGGGAAACAGGTAGAGAGAGAGAGAGGTGTTACCTTCAGCGTAGAGTCTCTCAGCGAGGAAAACAGCATCCAGGTAGGCGTAGTGGTTCAGAGCCTGCCACACTGCAGCCTGAACACAGAGAGATGGGTAAACTTTAACTAGTCCTCACTGATTCTGAGTACTTGTCTGAAACTGGCTCTGAGTTTTGGTCTGAAGCTGGTTCTGTTTACGTCTGAAACTGGTTCTGTGTGCTGGTAGAACACAATAATGTATTCATCAGGTACTGGTTATCATGGTCAGACACGAACACATGAAGCTTTACACTGCTCCAGAATACTCAATCAGCAATAAACATCACAAATCAATTTGCAGACATTAATCAAAACACTGAAACCAACAACAACCTGCTACCCACACAAACACAGTCTGAAACCACACTGAAACATGGAGTTCACCTGGTCACTGTACAGTAGCACAGCTTAAACACAGCTGTCAGTTAGAGGCATCTGACTAGCAGGTCAACCTGATTTACTAACTTTCTACTGAAGTCCAACAGAAACCACATACATTTAAATCAGACCATTTCTGTCAATGACACATCTGAGATGTAGCTTCAGGCCATTCTGTCACAAATACACCTGAGATGCAGCTTCACTTCATTTGACACTAACACACCTGAGATGTAGTTTAATGTCATTCTTTCACAAACACACCTGAGATGATGCTTCACTTCATCCTGCTAAGCACACCTGGGATGTAGCTTCACATCATTTGACACAAACACACCTGAAATGTAGCTTCATTTCATTTGTCAATAACACACCTGAGATGTCGTTTCACTTCATTTGTCACAAACACACCTGCGATGTAGTTTCAGGTCATTCTGTCACAAACACACCTGTAGTGTAAAGCCGCACTGAGTCTGATTTAACTGTAAATTAAGGTCTGTTGTTCTCAATTTAATTGTGGCTAACATGGCAGCTAACCAGCAGCTACCGGCAGATAGCTGACGTTAGCTTGTGTTAGCATCCAAAGGCTAAACAGCTGCGGGTTAACTTCAGTCTGAACTGCTGATCTGGTCTCAGACTTTAACATCAAACTGAACAAACTAATCAGAGCAGTTTATATTTACTGATGAACTTTAAAGCTGAATTCCTGCTGACTGTAGCCGCTCAGCTAACCGATAGCCATAGCGTTAGCCGGCTAACAGAACTCTACTGTTAGCATTGCTAACAATACAAAACTACACTTGAAATCTAACGATTTTGTGCCGCTTGACAGGTCAGAACAAACACAGAGCCCCATAAAAGACCTTGTAACAATCGTTCTTGTCCTACGATAAATTCGGCAGACCTACATTTAGTCACACACGGTCTGTTTGGCCAGAAAATAAACTTTAATAAGTGTTTGCGCTGCTCGAGTCGCCCTCCACGGGGCATTCTGACCTCAGACAAACCGAAGGATTATGAGATGAACATGATCAAGTTATGTTGTGTTTTCTTCTAACTAAAGCATTGTTCGTGTTTTGGATCTATGCCGAAGCGACGTGTGGCACAGACCATGTCACGAAAGGTCAACAGAGCTGATTCCACTGCGTTTATTTTTACCAACAACACGTAAAACCTCAACCTGACAGATTTTTACATTGAGTCTGGCATGACCTATCTGAACTGTAACCAAGCTGGGGCTAGCTAACGAAGTACAATTGTGTCAGTCCCAAACCAAGCGGCCGTCAGACGGACTGTTCCTTTGTGGAAGTATCGCCGTTCTAACCCTAATAACACCGGGCAAGCTCCGTGCTGCCAGCGGTGGGCTACGAGGCCTGCAGCGGGCGGACAGTTCTCTCACCGCGGACTGGACCAGCCGCTGAGGCCGGGACGGAGAAGACAGCGCGGGCTTCATAAATACTCGGCTGCCCGCTCGTGACAACAAGCTGAAGCGGTGTTTTTACCTGGACAGGTTCCTGCAGCACCGTCATTCCGCCTCGACACTCCGTCCGTGTGTTTTCTCTCGGCTCTTTCTTCACTTCAGTCCGCAGGAGGAGCTGCAGCCGAACATTTGAACTCACCGACCGTTACCAGCCGAACACTGCCGAACAATCCCGAGAACAGTGCAGGGCCGGAGCGGAAATGACCGACTGTGAGACGAAGAGAGCCGAAGTCCCTGTACCGCCCCCTGTCGGTGGACTGAAGTACAGCGGCTCTATTATCAGAATATTGCCAGAGTTTGTGTGTGTTTTCTCTTTTTATATCACACTAATGTGAAGTTCTCTGGACATTTGAAAACGTCAATAGGAAGAACAGCTACTCTGTTTTCTGATGTGTTACAGATCAAAGGTTTAATCAATTAAGAAAGAAAGTGAGAGCTAAAAGTGAAATTAAACAACAAGCCTAGGTTGGGGTAGCTGAGGGTGAGACTGACCATCAGTGGTCACTGTGAAGCTGTGGTGGCTACTGATCAGAGGGTTGGTTGAAATGCTGCATTGCTGTTTGTCATGGCTAACTCTCCAGTCTCACTCCAATGTCCATTCATCCATCCATCCATTATCTATACACCGCTTAATCCTCACTAGGGTCGCGGAGGGGCAGGAGCCTCTCCCAGCCGACTCAGGGTGAAGGCAGGGGACACCCTGGACAGGTCACCAGTCCATCACAGGGCCACACTTAGAGACAGACAACCAAGCACACTCACATTCACACCTACGGACAATTTAGAATCACCAATTAACCTCAACATGTTTTTGGACTGTGGGAGGAAGCCGGAGAACCCGGAGAGAACCCACGCTGCACGGGGAGAACATGCAAACTCCACGCAGAAAGATTCCGGTGCCCCCACCGGAACGCGAACTGACGACCTTCTTGCTGCGAGGCAACAGTGCTAACCAACGGCATCACCTTGCAGCCCTCACTCCAATATGACATTTGAAAAGAGAATTTTACAGTGCTGTATTGTACTTGTGACAAAAAAAGGTTTGTTCTCCTTCGTCTTCTTCATCTGAATGTACGCAGAGCTCAGGTGAAATTCATCTGTTCTCTCTGCTGCTAAACAAACGTGGATGTATAACTGTGTTTAACTATCAATGGAAAAACACAAAAAGGAAACAAATGAGCCAAATAAACCTGAAGAAATACCACACAACACACACGATTTGATGCAACACAACACACACTTTATTTCACTCGTTGACAGCATGTCATCGCTTCCCGTTCACAGTTGTCATCACGGTGACATCACAACACCTCACTTGACATCATCGCCAATCGACCTACTATGACAAACCAACGAGTAGGGTTAAACTAATGCTACTGCTAACGCTTGTTGCTAACGTGGAGGCGGGGTTTCACAGCACACATAATTACATCATTAATAGGGGCGGGGCTTCACAGAGGAGAGGCGGGGTTACAGAGTGCAGTTTGCTTCAGGCGAGAGTCGACATTTAGCCACCGTCAGGTAAGTCTCCACCTGCACACACAAACATCATGGTAACACCATCGTCATCATCATTACATCGTCGTTGTGACATCATCTTTCCCTCTTTCTCACCTTGTGCATGTCTTTCTTGAAACAGGCCAGCAGCTCGTAGGTTCGACGCAGCGACTCGTCGGCGCCCAGACTCTGGTAATAGTTTCCATAAGGAGCCAGCTGGAGGGCAGAGCTGTCAGGGAACACCTCTCCTGCATCCTGATTGGCCTGTGGGGTCAGGTGGTTCGTCAGACAGGTGGGCGGCAGTAATGTTAATGTTTCAGTTCAATTTAATTCTGTTAAATTCAGTTTAGTTCCGCCCAGTACAATTCGATTTAGTTACGTGATTCAGTCAATTCCATTTTATTGATAAATCACCAGTTCACAGCATCAGTCATGTCACAACACTTCACATAATAAGAACATTGCATTTAAGAGACAAACAAATCCAAAGATTCACTTTGCGACTCCTGTTCTCACCCTGATCAGCAGCAGGATCCCCGTCTTCAGTTCAGACAGCTTTGGTGAAATTTGGTTCCTCGGAGCAGAACCTCCAGACAGAGAGCGACTAGGGAACTCCCAAGACTCAACCAATCGATAGGAGATAGACAGCAGCTTCAGAACCTAGAACCAATCAATCAATAGGAGACAGACAGCAGCTTCAGAACCCAGAACTAATCAATCAGTTGGTAACAGCTCTGTACAGTGACGTTACATGAATGTAGTGTTGTGCAGTATACTGACGGAGCTTCGTTGCGTCTCGTGTTTGTCGATTGGACTGATGATGTAATCAGAGTTGCAGAAATCCTGCAGGAAGATTTTGTTGAGCTGACGTTGTTCCTCCGTCTGCAGAGAACTCTCCTAGAAATACACAAAAACACAAAAAACTCACAGTATAATACACAAAAGTACAATGTTGTTTCTCTGTCTCCTAACAAACACACAAAAACACAACAAACACACAGTATTGTGCACAGTGTTATTCTCGGACTCACAAAGTCAGAAAACAGTCTCTGTGCCAGCAAGTGGAGATGTTGGACTCTGCTGACTGCGATGGAGAACAGACGCTGGCTGTCTGTGATTGGCTGAGAGGACACGCCCAGACACACAACTGACAGCAGGAGGATGACTGAGAGACAGACAGGTGAGAGACAGGTGAGGCCGATGATGTCACAGCACACTACAGTGCAGGGTGAAACCACCCAAGACTATCAGTTACTATGGTAACCGTCGTCACAGTAAGCAGCGCCCTCTGGTGGTTTAAAAATGTTCTGATCATCATGTTCAACGACAAACAGATTAGAGCTGAACAACAAGGCAAGTTTAGCAAAGCCAGGCTTTTCATAGCTGGACCAACAAAATCTGAACCCATCAGAGATAATGTATCAATCTGAGATAACCAATCAGAGATAATGTATCCATCACAGATACTGTATCAATCAGCAATACATATAGGTTCCCATGGTAACAGTTCAAACAGAACATCCTTTGCGGCAGGTTAGCTGTGCAGCATGAGTTGCCATGGTGGTCTAGCTGTGCAGAATCAGTTCCCATGGAGATCTAGCTGTGCAGCATTAGTTACCATGGAGATCTAGCTGTGCAGCATTAGTTACTGTGGTGATCCAGCAAGTTAAACAGAGCCTCCTTGGTGACACTGAAACTCTTCATCAACATACCTGCAGACACATTAAATTTTAATTTCATGTCTCCCGGTCTTACCTCTATCCATGACTGGTCCCGGATTAATTCAGGTTCTGGTTCTGGTTCTGGTTCTGGCTTAGAGTGATCTGATCAAAGCTCAGCTGTTCTGTGTTCTGATGTCTCCACCTCAGACTTTGTGGTTTTATAGCCAAAAACTTGATGATTAAATTCATCAGAAGAAACATGAAACCAGCAAACAAGTGTGTGAACGTAATTAACATTCATACTTTAAATTAATATGAATGCAGCATCAAACACTGACTGTGGACGGCAGGAATGTTTTTATTGTGGAAACAATGAAACTCCAATGATAAAGGTTAAACACTTTAATGTCTTAATGTGAAAGAATCCTAACATGTCAGCATCATGTTGAGGTTTCAGTTGGAAGAATCAAAGAGAGCTTAACATGTGAAAGAACAACCAGTGAAGAATCCACAGAGTGAATCCTGCAAACAAAAACAAAAATCACCAAATCCAGAAAAACATGATGGAAATATTTGTATCAGGTTTAATTCACATGTTTATGGCCGACAGTGAATCACTGCAACAGGACAGTTTAATATTTGTTTCTCCACTATGGCAGACAAACGTTTTCAGTTCTGTTAGTTTGTTCATGTATTTGTTGTTTTCTTTTTGTTTGTTTGTCAGCTGGAGACTGAGCTGCAAGGAGAACCTGTTAAAATCAGATTCGGAATCAACTTCATTGGCCAGGTTTGTACACGGAAACAAGGAATTTGACTCCAGTAAATGGTAAACCTCAGCTCTCTGTGTACAGTAATCAGGAGCAAAAGCAACAACTAAGTACTAAAAATAAGAATATAAAAATAAGGTAGAAGTAGATGCAGATCTGAGTCACGTTTAAATGGTGATGCAAGTTGTGTTCGTGTTTGTGGTCATATTCGTGTTGAGGTTCCTTGTTGTAGTCGTGGTTGTATTTACGATCATGTTGTGGATCATGTTTGTGGTCATTGGAACAGGACAGGATCTGGAGTATTTTTCTGTTATCTGTTTTAATCTTGTTTCTCTTTTTCTTGAATGACTTTGGTCCTCCAGGGCCACTGGGGCATGTTTCTAATATCAAGTTAAACGTCTCTGACTGTGTTTTTGTCCTTGATCCATAATGATAAAACATTTTCAAACATTCAGGACATTAGAGTAAAAACGAGCTTATTCCTCTGTGCTGATGCAGTTTACTGTGTGTTAAAGATAATCCCTTTAACCTGAATTCACCAACAACTCATTCAGATTTCTAGAACACAGGGGTGTGTGTCTCAGTGTGACAATACTATTAAAAAGTTCAGATCCTTTAAATAAATGAATGTGCAGATTGTGAAAAGACGTAAGTTCAGGAATTACAAACAAAACGTACAGAACACCAACGCAAAACTCCTGAATATTTATCTTTATTGAGCGGATTTGCAGGAAACATGATGCACTGATGACGAAAAGACTTTTAAAAACAGAATCAGATGTTTGCTGTTTTCGTCCTCAGAGATGTGAATTTATTCAGCGCTGTCACCGACCAGAGTTACATCACACAGGAGGCTGAATTTATTCAACGCTGCATGAAACTGAGACTGAAGCCACAATCTGGGACCTGTTGATGTATCAACGACCTGTTAACAGTATTATGGACGTGCACTGACGTAGTTCCGTCTGCAGAGAAAACCTTCATCAGAGTTCCCAAACCAATAAATCAGCAGCAGCTCAGGTTAGAACCACATCAAGGCTTCCAGGCTTCAGCAGCTGCTGGTAGGAGACTCTGGCAAAACTGTTGCAGAAGAAATCTCAATATCAAGTATTCTAACTACAAGTATTGTGGTACTACAGACTTGGCTAGTACCGACCGACTCAGGGGTACAAAATGTGAGGATGTTCAGTCAGTCTGCAGTTAAAGCAGCAGCGCATTGATGGAGTCACCGTGTCAGCTGGTTTACTCTGGTTGTCTTCACTGTAAAGAATATTTACAACAAACAAAGTCTGATATAAAACCAGCCTGCCTCATTTTATTAAAAATAACTATTGTGTTAATATTTTCGGGGTTCAAAGATCTATATATAATCTTCATTAATGCTTTACAGATGTTGATGCATCTTTTGTCAGCTGTTGTTTGTTGAGCTATGCTGTGTTATTCTGAGGTGTTTACAATATCCAGTCCATCCTCAGTGATATCAGCTGATTCACAAACACTTCTAAGAAACAGGTTATTGAACAAAACTGAACTCTGTAGAGGTTCGCATGTAATGCAGGTCTGCTTAATTAGACCACGAGGTTTATCTGAATGTGATTCATAAACTGGGAGGGAAGCACTTTCAGTATTAATAATATTAAAAGGAATTAGCCAGCATTCAACATACAAACCTGCTGGTTGCCTTCAAACATTCAGAGGTTTATAATCTGACAGGTGCACTATACATTAACATAAGTACTTGTACCTCATCTGTAAAGGTCTGCATCTTACAGGTGTGCTCTTAAAGGTGAGCTGTTACAGGTAAGTGTGAGTGAAAGAATCATCATTACCATTAACAAACTGGAATCTGTCTTATAAATATGATTGAAACCAGTTTGGTTCCTTTAATCCCAATGACACATGTCTGTGTCATAGGATGTTGTGATCAGTTGTATCAAAACAAGCACTAAGGTCCAACAGGACCAGT